GAGAGAGAGAGAGAGAGAGAGAGAGAGAGAGAGAGAGATGGAGGGAGTAGACAAAAAGAGAAAGTAATGATGGCACCCTCATTCCGTTTGTCTTTCTTAAATTTTCTCTTTCGTTTTCCTTTCTCCTTCCTCCTAACTCATGGCACCACAAAGAATAGGCAGCCAGATAAAATCGAACTAGGCCTAACTCAAGGGGGGGTCAATTCCCCCCTTCCCGCCTCCCCCCCCCCCACAAGCCAGCTGAGTCTCGTTTTGATGTGTATAATCTTGTCCAAAGCCCTCGGGTAGATCTTCAACTTTAGGTACATTACGTTATTATATGAACTTGCCAGGGGAAAAGGAGCTGTACTGACGCTACCCCAGATGGAAATGCAGCCAAGACCATGAGGACCTGTGTTATGTGGGGGGGAGGGGAGGGGAGGGGGGGGGGAGGAGAACAAAGGAAAAAAAGGTAATCAATTATAGCAAAAGACTGGCTGTTGAGGTTGCCTTGGTCTCCTGTACTGGGCTCCACATCTTTTTTTTTCGTTTCTTTTTCTTTTAATCAAGATATGCTCCATATCAGATAGGAGAAGAGTCCCTCCCCCGCACCCCCCCAGGATATGCGAGGATTGAGCCCTCACGGGGCCCCTATCAGCCATGCAAGTGTTCTGGGCTGCGTCCCCCAGCAAGCCTCGTGCCCGCCATAAGTGAAGGCGGGCCTGAATATCCATGTGAGGCCAATTTTGGACATTTTTCGTATGCCGGATATCAGACAGTTGCAGCACGCCGGTTGGTTACAAAGCAACGTGAGCCTTTCAAGGCTCCTTCCAGAAGCTGTAGCTGCGTCGAACAGTTGAGCCCAGGGCTTAAGCGGTTGCGCACTGGGCACACACACTCAGAGGCCGACGGATCATGGAAAGGCCGTGGACCAATGAAAATGCAGCATTGTCGTCACACATCTACAGCGGGCCAATGAGATAGCGGCAAACACTTGGAGCCTGGGAGACGTGCCTAACCGAACGAGGCCCAGGCCAGTATCTGAAACTGGGCCTGGGCGCAGACACTTGGGGCCAGCCTGAAGCTACTGGGCCCCTACACGCCTGGCCAGACCAGCCAGCAGGGGGCACACTTCCATAAAGGAAACTGCGCGCCCCTGGGGACGGCATTCTAGCCTGTGCAGGCGATGCGGCCACGCTGCTGCATCATAGTACGAGCAGCTGCGTTAGCGCTGCTGGCCAGGGCGCACGCGGGCGCTAAGAGGCGAGAGGGCACTGCGGTGGCAGTGGGCACACGGCGGCCATAGCCAGTCTGCGAGTGCGGTGGCAGGTGACGGTGATGGTGGCCTTCGGGTAGGAGGCGCATGCAGAGGGGAGACAAGGTGTGATGAGGGGAGGAGAGAGAACGTATCTGATGTATGCTGGCGGTCGGCATTGGTGATGACATCACGTACATTAGTCTTCAACTTCGATGTGATCTGGTTGCATGAACGTAGACAGCCGTAGGTAGACTGAGTAGTGTAGGCTGGGCGATGGGCGTCAAACAGTAAGAAAGACATTGGATACTGTGTTGATGTGGACACAGAGCGTTGACATTGACATCGAGTTCGTTGTATTCCTCTTACGTGGATGGTATCTTGGTGCATCATGCTCTCTGCTAGGCACATGACTATCTGAGCTACTTCGTGATTTTGCAACCTGGTTTTCTGTCTATCGCTCTCGCTCATAATCCTTGCAGATAGGACAAGAATTACTAAATGTAATCATATCGGTTGCAGGGTAAGGGGAAGGAATAAGGGGCACCACAGAGGACCATGCATTCAACTTTTTTATTCTTATCTTAATTTTAAATATTAAGAAGACTATGTACTCATGTCGATTGCAGGGTAACGGGAAGGAATAAGGGGCACCACAGAGGACCATGCATTCAACACTTTTTTATTCTTATCTTAATTTTAAATATTAAGAAGACTATGTACTCATGTCGATTGCAGGGTAACGGGAAGGAATAAGGGGCACCACAGAGGACCATGCATTCAACTTTTTTATATTCTTGTTTTAATTTTAAATTTTAAGAAGAAGACTATGCAATCATTGTAATGCCCCTGCCTGCAAAGTGGGCATACGATGTCCAGACGCAGGAAGAGGGTGTGTGCAGACAGGAAAGGCAAGCAATACGAAATCAGAAATTGCAACAAAGGCTTGAGGCGGGTGGATGCAAACACTGCGCCCATCAGGGGCTCGCAGCGACCAAAGACTGTGACTGAGGTCAGATCACTCTTAGATGCGTTGGGTATTACAAACCGCTTGTTAAAAACTACAGTAGCATTGCAACTCCCTTGACCGATCTAACTCGACCAGACACCCCTCGGGATGGGAGTAAGGAATGTGAGTGGGCTTTCAAAAAATTGAAATCCATCCCTCGTGAATTATCCTGCCCTAACGACTGCGCAGTCTGATAAGCCATTCGTTGTTACCACTGCCGTCAGTCAACATGGGATAGGCGCAGTGTTACAGCAAGCAGAGGACTCCAAGTAGAGAGTCTAGAGACCAATCAGGAACGTCTTTTTTTTTTGTAACGCCATTTCAAAAAAGCTGGCACGTTCAACCTGTGAAAGGGAGGGAGGTGTACGCAATCTATATGGCGTCGAAAGTTGAAACACTGGAAGCATTACCTCCATCACAGACATTGTGAAGTGTGGTATGAACACAAGGCACTCCAGTGGATCAAGACACAGGGCACACTTTCTGATGCTGTCAAGCGTTGGATACTAAGGATAGATTTGTATGACTTCACAGTGAAACATGAGAAAGGAAAAACTACAATGTGGTTGTTGACGCCTTTACGGCAGAGGGCAACTTCCTAGGTGCGCTAGGGACTGCGTTACAGTTAGATGGGCGTGTACATCAACAAGTGGAACAGTCCGACCAAGTGGACAGTATTCTTAGTGAAGTCATCGGACAACTCACTACACAGAATAGAAAGGCGTGTGACAAGTACAGGATGCTTGAAAGTTGGTCGTTCTCGAGTAAAAAAAAAATGGGATAGAGAGACTGTGTGCAAAATAGAATCCCTCAGGAGTCTCTTCCTAAGGGAGTGCTACCATGCTATCGTACACTTTGGGTGTATTAACGACTAAAGCTAATCCGTTGCAGCATTTCTGGTGGCCAGGCATGACGAGCGATGCACCTGTGTACGTTGAAACGTTGTCTGGTTCGTGGACAAAACGACCAACCACGCACACAAGCACCTCTAAGTGTACTAAAGCCCCTTCCTGTCCCTGAAGGCCCTGGTCATAAGGCCTCTTTTCCTATCCCTGCAGGACTTGAGGGTCAGTCTCTGGTCACGGACGGCATGGAGACGTTAGTGACCAGCAGGAAACGAAATGAGCAGATTTCTGTGATAATTGAGTTGACAGATTTTCAAAATTTGCTCGTCTTACACTTATGCACTGCAAAAATGTTTTGCTAATCACTGGATTAAAGATTTCAGATTACCCAAAACTATTGTAAGTGATAGAGATGCGCGTGGTTCACCAGTGAACTACAGCAAGACCACTGTATAAGATGAGCAAATTTGGGTCAGAACTAAAGATGACTTCAGGAAATCATCATGAACCAAACCGCCAAAAGGAGCAAATTAACAAACAAGCGCAGCAGCTTCTTATTAGGCATTACATTATCCCAATAATCAACTTGATTGCGACATTACCATCCATCTTCCCCCAAATGGACCGCACGGTCATCATAGCTGGTATTTGGAGCAACTTCCACTCTACATACAGCGATAATTACCGTTTTTTCTATATTCGGGGGAAGACGGTGGAACGTCTTAGATTGGTGGGCTGTATAATAACGCTATACACACACCAACGGGCCGCTGTTCACCCAACCAACTGCATTTAGGCTGGAAGCCCAGGATTCCACACGATTTCCTAATTTTCCAGATACTAAGCCGCAGTCAGCCCCTCGAAGCATAGAATACGCCCTCCTTGAGTACAAAAAGACGTTGCAGGACACGGTCGAACAGCAGTAAAGATCTCCGAGGGCTATGATACAGTCAAAAAGAAAATCGCATAGAAGGATGCCTACATTTCAGAGAGGGGGGGTGATAAGGTGTGGATTCAGTCATCTAAGTTCACGGCAGAACACGACATGTCACAGAAACTGAGGCCTTAGTACTACGGACCATGGAAAGTATTAGATATTGTAGAAGATGATCCTGACAGGCCGTAAAAATGAGATGGATGTGCCCCCTCATCTTCGCACTTACCCAGTTTTTCATGCATCCAAACCATACTTGCAACCGCACGAGCCGCACATTCGTGCGGAGTTCCGTGCGGAGTTCCATGCGGGAGGTGCCTGTGCGGAATCGCGCAGGTTTTTTATTTTTTTTATTTTTTTTTTTTGGGGGGGGG